GGGGAGAGAACAGGCGGTTGCGGGGAATGCAGGATAGGACGGGGGATGTGTGTGTGTGTGTGTGTGGTGGTGGTGGAGACCTCGTCTGTACCCTCATCGCTCAGGCGCGGACGCGATTCAAAGTCGTCACTCGGTCGCAGGATCAGCAGGTGCATCCTCGTCTACGATGCGGAACTTCTTCTGCTCGTTCCACCAAGCCTGGCGAGCCTCGCCGACGAGCGAGCCCTCGAGCTTGGGATCCTTGTCACCCTCGCCTGCGTACCAGAGGAGAGCGACCTCTGCGCGCGGGCCGTCGCACCCGCCACAGCCGCAAGGCAGGCCGTGCGGCTCAAAGAGGTTGATAGGCGGCCCGGCCTCGAGCAGACGGCGTTGCTCTGCGGCACACTTTGTCTTGGCGAGGTCGCTCACGTACTTATTGTACTGGCTTGTCCGCAGGTACTCGGTGCAAGTGGCGCAGATGGTGGCGACCTGCCATGGACCGTCGACCCCGCCAGCGCACTTGTACTCGACATAGGACGACTCGTCGATGTCGTCGAAGCAGATCTGGCACTCGCAGTCGACCGGCGGCTTTCCGTGTGGTGTCTCGGACATATGGACAAGCGGTATGTGAATGTGTGTGCGTGTGTGTGTGGGGAGGGGGATGGAGAGAGCGGTGAGTCTCAACATTGGCTGCACAGGGCGGGACACTATCGTGTGCTGACTTTACTCTCCATCCAGAAGATTAAGCCGCGCCTGGCGGTCCCAAAGAACAACACCATCACCGGAGAGATGGCGGATGCGGTGGGTCGGGATGGAGCCGAGGCCTTCGTCGAGCCCGGCGAGCCAGGCGGCGAGCGGCATCTCTTGGACGCCTGTGAACCGATCCTCGTACCCGACGACCCACGTCTTGTCCCTGAGTCGCGGATCCCACTGGATCTTGTTGAGCGCCTTGTCAGCGCCCAGAAATCGTCCCTTCTTCCCGCTCTTCCCGCTCCCACCGGCCCCGTCTCCCGCTGTCCAAGGCCACTCGGCCGACAGCGGCTTACCAACCGTGGCCGCGTACTCGTGCTCATCGCCGCCGTCATCGCTTGCCACCGTCACCGTTATTACGTCACCATCATGCACTACATACGCACGCACCTTCACAATCTGTACTCCCCACGTCCCGCGCTCCCGATCATGTGTGAGCTGCCATCGTCCACCCGCCCGTGGAGCCGAATGGAAGGCCTGCTTTGTCGAGACTGGTCTCTCTCTCTCTCTCTCCCCCCTCTAACCCCCCTTCACATACCGCCCCATTGACGTCGACCTTGCCATCAGCAATCTGAGTCTTGGCCCACTTTCTAGACTCGCCCGTCTTGCTCGCCAACCACGCATCAAGCACCATCGTCTCTGCATCGGCCGACATGCGCTCTTTTCTCTCAGACAACAGTTACCAGTCATTCTCCTGCATCATTTAGCAGGACACAACCCGTTGTTTTTCGGATGCCAATTAATCGCATCGATCGTTCGCATTGTGGTATTCGTTTGTGTGCCAGGCAATGCCCGATCCGAGAGTACCATCAAGACGGCCACCCCACCGCACCCCCCCCCCCCCACCCAGCCCCTCCACTTCCACCTCTTCCGCCCCCCCCCCCCCCAACCTCCACCACCCACCACATCCACCTCGTACACCCTCTCTCGAACTTCGTCTCACCCACCAATCCACCCTCCCACTCATTCTCCTTTGACCTCCCCTCCCCACCTGGCCAAGTACGACCTTCCCAGCCCCCCCCCCCCCCCCCTTCCTCCCCTCTCCCGTCCGCTCGCTCGTTCGCACGCGTGCGGCAAACGTTAACCTGCCCCTCGCCTCCCTCCGACATCCGCTGGTCCACATTCAGCCAGCCACTCACTCGTGGACGTACTGGTGGGGACAGATATCATGAGTATGAACATGGGGATGGCTCCGAGTGGGTCGTCGTCGGTAGTGTTCCCTACGGCGCCGGCCGACTATGTGCTGCTGGAAAAGGTGGGCGCAGGCTCGGCCGGTGTGGTGCACAAGGCGTACTGCAAGTCGCTCGACCGCGTGCTCGCCATCAAGAAGATCCAGCTGGAAGAGTGCGACAATCTTGTCGACGTGCTTGGCGAGGTGCATGTCCTCTCGCAGTGCCACCATCCGAACATTATCTCGTACTACGGCACCATCCAGTCCGGAGCAGAGCTCTGGATTTTGATGTCGTACGCCGGCGAGGGCTCGGCCGCCGAGCTGCTCTCATTTGCGTACCCGACAGGCCTGCCGGAGCGTGCTGTGGCGACCATCCTCTCCCAGGTTCTCTGCGGGCTGGAGTACTTTCACGACAACGCGCTTATTCACCGCGACATCAAGGCCGACAACATTGTGTTTGACGTCGACGGGACGGTCAAGATCGCCGACTTTGGCGTGGCGGCACGGCTCAAGTCGCGCGAGGACGTCAAGAACTCGTTTGTGGGCACGCCGTACTCGATGGCGCCCGAGGTGCTCGACGAGTCGATGCCGTACAACTCTGCGGTGGATATCTGGTCGGTCGGCATCCTTGCGCTGGAGCTGGCGCTCGGGCCAGTCGCTTTTGCCAAGCATCGTCGCGACCAGCTCTTTGCCGAAGTCCAGATGACAGCGCAGCCGACGCTAGACAAGTTCGGCCTCTCGGAGGCCTTTGGGACTTTTGTCGACGCCTGCCTCACCCGCGAGCCGAGCCGTCGCCCGACTGCACGCTCGCTGCGGACCGCCTCGCCGCTGGTTGCGGCTACCTCGGCCCACATCATGGACAGCTCCGCTCTGGCCAAGACGCTCTTTGGCTCGCTGCCGCCGTTCTCGGCCCGCTTTGCCCACAACGTCGAGATGACCCAGCGCGCATACGTCGACAACGTCGCCGCACAGCAGTATGGGTCGGGCGTGGGCACGCCGTCGTCGACGCCGGGCTCGCTGCCGACCTCGGCGTCGGGCGACTTTGGCCAAGTTGCCCCGCCGCTGTTGTACCACCAGTCATCGGTACCCGGCTCGCTCAACTCGTCGACAACCAACATCACCGGCCTTGCCGACGCTGCCATTGCCTCTGCGTCCGAAACCTCGTCGGTCTCGGGAGTCCACGACGGGCACGACTCGTCTATAACTTCGTCGTCGCCGGTCTCGGTCCGCGCCGACCAGCTGGAGTCGATCACGTCTGAAGTCTGCATCCCGCAGGCCCACCCGAGGCCGACCCACCGCACGGCAAGCCCTCTCGCTTTGAGCTCCTCTCCTCCTCTGACGCATCCGGATCCGCCACTGGCGGCGCGAACGGCTCCGTCGCCGCCCGCAAGCGCCCAGGCTCGCGCTTTGTCGAGGTCACGCCAGACTCACCAGACGCGCGCCCGACCCACCCGCCCGTCCCCACCGTCAGGGACGAGCCCGGATCGCCACTCAATCACTCGGCGCCCGATCTCCGCGCGACCACCGGGTCCACGGATCTCGCCACCGGCCAGCGCCTCGGCCGCTTTACCGTTACACACGTCGCCACCTCGTCGCCGCCCTCGGCCGACGACGAGGTTACAACAGAGCCATCCAAACCCGAGCTCTCCGCCGCCGAGGCCGAGGAGGCCGCCAGGGCCCAAAAGGCTAAGAAAGCTCTGGCAGAGGTCCAGGCCCAGGTCAAGGCCCTCAACCAGTCCGAGGCCGCCCTCGCCGCCCTCCAGCAGGCCCGCCACCAGGCCGCACTCCAGGCGCAGGCCCAGGCCCAGGCGCAGGCCCAGGCCCAAGCGCAGGCCCAGGCCCAAGCCCAGGCCCAAGCGCAGGCGCAGGCGCAGGCGCAGGCGCAGGCGCAGGCGCAGGCACAGGCACAGGCAGCCGCCCAGGCCGCAGCACAGGCGCAGGCCGTTGCAGCCGCCCAAGCTCAAGCCCAAGCCCAGGCCGCGGCCCATTCGCGAGCACAGGCCGAGGCGCAGGCGCAGGCTAACGCCCAGGCCGCGGCGCAGGCACAGGCTCTGCGCCAGGCGCAGGCACAAGCGGCTCAGGCCAACGCACAGGCCCAAGCTGCTGCCGCCGCCCGTGGCCGTAACTCGGCCATGAGCTCACCGACTCATCTCCGCGACATGATGGTCGGCGAGTCGGCGAACACGTCGGAAGAGTCGATCCTCAACGACACCAACGGCGCTGTCGACGACGCATCGGGCAAGCTCGATCTGGTGCTCGCAGAGATGGCGGCTCTCAAGAGCCAGATGTCAGTGATGACGACCCAGGTCCAGACCCAGCTTCAGATGATCTCCATGCTCTGGCACATGGTCCTCCAGGAGCAGGCGCTCTCGGCCGAGTGGCGCCAGCGCGCCGCTGCCGCCGCCCCGCCAACTCCGTCTGTACCCATGCTGCCGCCGGAGCTCCTTCTCCGCCAAGTAGCCAGCGCCCCACCGATGGGCCCGCCGCCCGTCATCGGCACAACGCTCGGCGCCTCGATTCCGCGCGAGCCCTCACCCGGTGCTGCGTCGTCCATGCAGCAAGAGTTTGAGCGGCTCCGCCGCGAGAACATGCGCCTTCGCGCCGCCGCCATCAATTCCGGCTCTACCGGTCACGGCGCCACTGTCGGCCACAGTACCACAAACAGCGGCTATTAGCCCACAATCATGCGGGCGTTGGGACGCATTGTCATGCTTCAAAGTGAACAACACTCTGCGTATTCAAGTCCCTGAACCCGTGCGCGGCCATGCAAAGCCAGTAGGCTGAACCTCTGGGCGGCGGTGGTCAAACGAGTAGACAATTCAAAGTGCTTTCCTTGTCGAGCAAGTAATGCGTCTGGTGTAGTGGCAACATTTATGCTTCCCAAGCATGAGCTCCGGGTTCGATTCCCGGGACGCGAACTTTTTTTGCTCCGCCTCATACCCTCCCCCTCAACCTCCTCTCTTCATTCCCCAAAACTGTCTCACCGCCACATCGTCCTTTGTCAGCATCATAGCTACCATATCCTTTCCCCAACGTGTATCGCATCCTGCCAGATGGTTGGTTCTCACCAAGTTTGCCGCCAGTCGCTGCTCGTGCTGGCTCGAATCTGCCGCACCGCCCCCTCCGTCGTCAAGCCGGCCACATTGTCTGCCACCACTCTCCCCCGGCTTGCCATCCATGTCCGCTACGGCATACACGACCTACCCTGGACCGTCACCTACGTTCCGGATCACCCTCGCCACTCTCCCGCCAGCCAACCTCCTCCCGCCGCCGGCCACTCTCCGCCTCACGGCCCACCTGCACTTTGCCTCGCCGGCGACCTCACCGCGGTTGGTCTCTGTCCACGTCGAGCCGCGGCCGTGTCCGGTGGGCAAGGGCGGAGACGCTTCCTCGCCACCACTTCCTCCGCCGGCCTGGGCTTCGGGCTCAGATCGCCAGTTTGGCGCTTACCTCCGCGCTCTCCGGCCAGCCCATCTCTCGCCGGCTGAGCCCGGGGCGTGGCGGAGCGTGACCTTTGATCTCCCACTTGCGCGGGACTCGGCCCGCTTCGACGTCGTCGTCCGCGAGGACGCGCGGACTTCATCTTTCCGTGCTATCCTTGCGCATGCCGCCATTGTCCTTGCGCCCGAGACTCTGGCCACACCTGCGGCATCCGAGGCCTCACAGCTGCCGCCCGGCACAACGCTCGACGCCGCCATCGACGCCGCTCAAGCCTCAGCGGACTTTGTGGGCGGTGCGGTCATCGGCGCGCCGCACGTCACCATTCAGCGGACCAAGAGCCACGGCCTCGATCCGCTTGCACGGGTCTTCGAGGTTGTGGTCCCGCCGAATCCGTCAGGCACCTTTCCTGGCCTCAAGGGCGGTCTCCGGCTCACGGACGACAAGGCCGCCGGCGCCGAGTGGGTGCCTGTCGGCCCGGCACCGCCGGCACCATTGGACCAAGGCCTCTATCCCTGCCCCCTCGGCCACCGCGGCTACCCGTGCCGGCTGTTCTGGCTGGCACGGATGGCCGAGTGCTTCCGCGGCGGGCTCAAGTTTTACGCGCCGATCCACCTCGTGCCGCTGCTGCTGTTTCGGCCGCGCGCGCTGGCCTCGCCGCGCGCTGTCCTCCGCACACTGCTCAACATTTGCGGCTCGGCCGGCTTTGTAGCAGCGTACAATGGCATCGGCATCGGACTGCTGTGCAAGTTCCGCAACGCGGCCGGACGCGACGCCCAGATCCACACCATCATCGCCGGTACGCTCTCCGGCGCCGCTGTTCTGCTCGAGGCTGCATCGCGTCGGAAAGAAATGGCGCTGTACTGCGTGCCGCGCGCGTTAGACGCTGCTTGGCGCGTGTTGTTCGGCGAGAAGCCCCTGCTCGGCCTCCCGGCCGCCGTCCTCGTTGCTCTCCTCCACGCGCTCGCGCTCGGACTGACCGGCGGCGCGCTAGCGGTCGCACCGGCGGCGTTCAAAGGCACGTATCGGTCGATTCTGTCGCGGGCGCTGCTGATGTGAGGCAAGCGGCGTCTCGGCAGGCCTAGACAAGCATGCATCTTTTTACTGCTGGCTACAGTCTGCCGGCGGCGGGTCATTGCCGGGCACGTAGTCCTCGTCCTCGCCCGAGTTGTAGCCGGCAAGGTCGTTGATGGTGTGGACCGGGACATCGTCGTCGTCATCGGTCTCGTACTCGCTGTCGCCGTCGCCGCCCATGTAGCCCATGAACGGATCACCGCCGCCCTCGGCCTCGAGCTGGGCGAGCGCGGCAGTGCCGGTGAACCACGAGGCCGCGCGCGGGATCATCGACTGCAGGATCATGCCCAGCTCGTGGTCCATCTGCAGGTTCTCGCGGAGCTCGTGCAGCTCCTCGGGCTCCATGGCCTCCACCTCGTCGTCCTCGGGGAGGACCGGCGGGTAGAAAAAGTCGAAGAACGACGGCGCGTCGGCGCTCCGCACATCGCGGCCGTCCTTCCACTCGATGGCAGTCGCCGTTGCGGCCTTGAACATCGGGCCTTCGAACTTGTCGGTCTCGAGCGTGTAGCTCTTGGTCAGCACCTTGTTCGTAAAGTACTCGTTGTCGGCAAAGGTGAAGACAAGGTCGAATCCGGGGTTGTCCTCGGGATACGCAATGGTGACGTCGATGAGCGACTCGAGGACCGGGTAGTCCGACTCGGCAAGCACGTCCTCGAGCGACGAGTTATTCTGCAGAATCGAGAGCCAGTACCGCGGAAGGCCGACCGGCACCTCAACCTCGCCATCGTCGCCCTCGGCGCCGCCCTCGAGCTCCTCGTCCGAGACCAGGTCGGCGTCGGTCGGCTCGTACTCGCCGGTTACAATTGCCATCTGCTTCTCCTCGAGCGTCCGGAACTTGGCCGCGTACGCAATCTCCAGTGCACGGAACTCGGTCTGGAATGCCTGCTCCATCGCCACGCGCTCGTCCTCGATCTTGCGGAGCGCCGAGACCCGGCGCTTGACTTCCACCGGCGCCGTCTCCAGGAGGCCCGACGGCATGCCGATAAGGCCTTCGAACTTGGACTGCAGCGCCGACATGATCGATGGGTCCATCATCTGCATCAGCGCCGCCATTGCGCCGCCCTCGCCGCCATCAGCACCGCCCATCCCGGCCATCATCGCCGCCAGGTTCGACGCACCAGCCACGAGCGCCTCCTCGTCGACCTCACCATCGTCACCGTTGTCGGCCTCGCCCGCGCCGGCCAGCACCTGCGCAAACTGCGACGAGGCCTGCGGATCAAAGTTAAAGGTAAAGCCAGAGCCACTTGCCGGCCCGCCTGCCGCCGCTGCGCCCGTCGACGTGATGACCGTCTCAGGCGAGGTGGCCAACTCCGAACCATCACCCGCCTCGCTGGCAGGCACATGAGCGCCCGCCGTCTGCGGAGTGTTCATCGGCGTGTGTGCGTTCAGCAGCGGGTTCGTCGGCGTTCCGTTGTGCGCCTGGTTGCCAGTTGTCCGCCGGTTGCCAGCTGTTGGGGGGGGGGGGGGGGAGGAGGCGTGAGTGTAGAATCATCCTGGGCGGGACGGGGGGGGGGGGGGGGAAGGGGGAGGGAAGGGGGAGCGAGGGGGGAA